TCAATGCAATTTGATATATATATATATATATATATATATATATATATATATATATATATATATATATATGAAATATCAAATAATGACATGTCATAGCTATTGTGATAATTTAGTTTATATATTGCATTTTTACTAATGTTAATGGTCTTATTTTTTTTTTCTAATAATCGTAACGTTTTACTAATTGTACTTTTTATAAATCTCCTAATATCTTATAATTTTTTTTATCTTACTTTATAATTTTTTATAACTATGCTATTTTTAAGATTGATTGTCTTAAATACGAAACTTTGTTCACTAATTTCGACTAAAAAGGGTTTCCCATGACCGAGATATGACCTTTCAAAGACAGAGACAAATTAGGGAAAAATGTTGAAATAAGAGCTTTGACTTTTTAAATAAAAAAAACCACATACAAACATTGCTATTAACTAAATATGTTAAAAACAAAATAGAAATTACAATGCACTTTATATCCACTGAACACAGTTACAACAACTCAAAAGAGATTTAGAAATTGCAATTCAAAACATTATAGATTAAAGTCAAAGTACATTGCTATTAACTAAATCTGTTAAAAACCAAGAATTATGGGCAAATATGTCAAATTAATAGCAATATAATATTGATAATTAAAATCACTGAAGGGTAAATGGTAGTTTACAATCATCAACTACCGTGCAATCCAAACAATCTCATAAAAAATTAATTACGTAAGACACACATACATACATACAGTTAATCAAAAGTCTCTATGCTTTTCTCATGGACATTTTATCAAACATGTAGAGTGCAACATCAAATGCAAGGTTAAAAAGACAAAAGTAAAAGATTGAAAAACTAATACTAACATTTATAATTAAGATTATTCATGCATTCAAAGATCACAGTCAAATACAACACTAATGAGAAATCGAATACAATTAATAAAAATTAAGAACATCATATTAAAGAAGGAACCTGGATGATGAACGTGATGGTGCAAAGGGTGATGCTGTTTGAACGTGATGCTGCAAAGGGTCTGAAGAAAACATAATGTACGAACAACAACACATGATTTATACGTAACTTTCAACATTGATTATGGAAAGGATATCAAAATTTGAATTCTTTGATTCTTTGAAATTGAGCGACGATATCCCGTAATCTTGTAGATACGTTTCATATAATAGATGTGAATTGAAAGAATAAACGAAATGTGCCAACTAAGAACATGATTTTAATTAGGAAGGAACGAAATTTACATCAAAAATTATGATGATTTTTAAATGAGTTGAATACATTCTTTTTATAAATACCATTAACATTAAATTAGTTAGTCAATCTTTCAAATTTAGTCAATACTAATTTAATTCAATTTTATTTTAGGATGACATCATCAAAATGATCCAGACTTCAAATTAATCAAGGAACACTTTCATTTTTGAAATTGATATCATCAATTTTCTCCTTTAATATACTTAAATATATATAGAGATTAATATTTTAATCAATTTTATAGAATCTTCCCAAAAATACTTTATTTTTTCAAACTTTCCATCTGTGCAACCTATAGTTTAATAATCAATTGAGCTACCATCATCCCTTCCATCATAACTGAAGCTTCCATCAGCGCTTCCATCATCTAAAATGGATACGTACCAGAATGAGGCGCCTACCCCTGTCTCCATATTATATTTATATCGATAGATCACCGAAGCATTTAAGAATCCTGTCATCGATCCCCATATCAACCTTGTAAGTAGGTGTTGCTGTTTCGATTAGATCATCCAAAAAATGGCTGATGATGAAGTGAAGTTGTATGGCGCCATGGTAAGTCCATTCGTTTGTAGAGTGAAAATCGCTTTGAATATGAAGGAAATCAAGTATGAAAACTTGGAAGAGGATATCATCAACAAGAGTGCCGAACTTTTGAAGTATAATCCTGTTCATAAGAAAGTACCGGTGCTGCTGCACAACGGAAATCCGATCTCAGAGTCTATTGTGATCATTGAATACATCGATGATGTCTGGAAAGGGGTTCCTATTTTGCCTCAGGATTCTTATGAGAAAGCTATCGCTCGATTCTGGGCGAAATTTCTTGATGATAAGGTAATAATTTCATATTAGTTAATATATAATAAATATCAAAATATTATATATTTTGTGATGCTTACTTTGTAAAATATTTTACATTTTATGGTTTGTTCAGTGCCTCCCTGCACTCAGGGTTGTTGGCAGCAATGGAGATGAGAAAGTTATCGCAGAAGCTTGTGAGCAACTTCAAGTACTGGAAAATGAGCTCAAAGTCAAAGGTACAAAGTTCTTTGGAGGTGACAACATTGGTCTGGTGGATATTGCTGCTGTTTTCATAGCTTACTGGCTTGGAATAAGGGAAGAAGCAGCTGGAATAAAGACGTTCACGAAAGAGAAGTTTCCAAAACTAACCAAATGGGCTGATGATTTCGTTAACTCTCAAGTTGTCAACCATACCTTACCTCCACGTGAACGCATGGTAGCATTTTACAATAAAATGTTTGGTAAGGTTAATTAATAATAGTAAATGTGACTGTTATATACATAAACTTGGTCATTTTGTAAGGGTATGAATATATGTACGTGGTTATTGAAGTTGATGTTTCTTACTTTCTGTAACATACGTCTATCGATCAATATTGCAATAAGCAGATCTTGTAGGCTTATCTATTTCTATTATTAATATATATGTAGCATGTGACAGTTATGATGTTACGTGTTTTTAAGTTGTGGTATGCAATATAAATAATTGAACTCATGATCTTTGCAATTATCCTTGTGCATGTGTGTCGACCCTGATTTCGAGCCATTTGTTGACGAGCACACCTAGAAAAATATATATGTTGTACAAAATTGGTTTTTTTTTTTTTTTTTTTTTTTGTTGGAAACGAAAAATAAATATCATTAAAACACCACACCTAGCAAGGAGCTAGTTCAGGCACAAAACAAAGTTTTGTACACTATTTGTAGTGGATTCGTCATTTCTCTTGGTGATATCATTTTGTGTGGTATTGGTAATGCCAATTTCCCGTAATTAAAGAATGGTTTTACTTTATTCCGTGCGTTTACATAAATTGACCATGTTAATCTAATTAAAGAATTTCCACCACCATTTATATATGCATCATCTGGATTATCAACAATTTTGCTACTGTCGAGATTTAAAACGGCAACACATCAACGTACCCACCATTAATTTGTAGATAATCAAATTTATAAAGTTTCGATTTGAAACAGAGTTCCAAGCGATCGCTACGAAATGGATGGAGAAATTAAGAAAGGAACCCAGTTGGGTTTGAACCCCGCCTTGTTGAAGCTCCAAATGTTCGCCGGAGATCGAGTAGCTTACATCTTGGTCGGAAATAAGTTCCAACAGTCCTGCCAACCCGTGTGAAAAAATAAACTCGTGGCCGGAAAATACATAGAGGCTAAGACATTGGAAAGACATTTTAGTTGCAAAATCAGAAATCCGAAGGAAATATTATTTTGGGTTTTAGATTTAACTTTGGTTGACTTTCAATATACAGAAATCCGAAGGAAATATTATTTTGGGTTTTAGATTTAACTTTGGTTGACTTTCAATATACTGTAAAGCTTTTATAAATTAATAATGTTTGGATTGAAATATTTTATTAATTTGGTAAGATATTATTATATCAATAAATTAATAAATTATTAATTTAAAGAGTTGACTTATATTCGTGAGCAACTCTCAAACTAATACATCAACCTTCAAAATTTCTATGTTCGTTCATTTTACCTATTTGAATAACATAGAAAGAAGAACTTTCAAAATTCTCATGTACATTCATACATTAATGAACTTGTCAAGTTCAATATACATAGAAGCATTGCAAGCGGCAACAACTCTTCACAACTTTTTGTTGCAATACGATAATACAATGTCTCAACTCTTAAGTGCAATTGAGAGATTTAAAGATTACATCAATATAGATTTGAAGTTCACAAAAAAACAAGTGACTATAGATTCATTTTTTACTAGACAATTCTAGAATTTTGCAATATTTTAGTAATTATTAATTTATAGTTTCACTGGGATCAATATATTTACATTGGGATTTCAAAAAAATTATTATTTTATTATTTTATCGATTGGGGTCCAATTTTGTACTGATTCCAAGTTGGAACCGGACAAATTATTAATTTTATCGAGGTTATTAATTTATCGAGTATAAAATTATAGAGATTTTATTGTAGTTTTTTTCCCTTCTGATTTGGTATTGTTTACGGTGGTAGTTGCTGATGTTGGATGTGAAGATGAAATATATATGAGTCAATTGTGGGTAGGAAAGTAGGAAAGAATAAAGGGGAAAATGACTTATGTGGGTAATTAACTATTGTTTTTGTATTCATTTGGTCACTTTTTTTCTTTTTTCTTTTTGTATATGATTTACCATTAAACTTGTTGTAGGTGTTCAAAGAAACTATTGAAGGTTTCCGGTAATTTCTTATCTCCGACGACTCTCCGGTCGTCTTCTCCGGCTAGCCTCCGGCAAAAATGAGTTTTCCGACGGATCATTGGGTCTCGGCTAGATGACTTACAGCAACAACAAGAAGCAAGAGGTGGTGATGGTGGTTTACCGACGACAAAAGGGAGGTGGCAGGTGGGTTCCGATGATGGCAGGAGGAGGTGGCAGGTGGCTTGCTGTCTCGTCCCTTCTTCGTTTTTCTGGCAGCAAATCGAAAGGAGGGAGAGAGGGGAGGGTGGAGAAAGCTAAGCAGCAGCACCGGTGGTGGGTGCTGCTTGGATGGCAGTTGAGAAAAGTCCGCCGGAAAAACTCATTTTTGTCGGAGGCTCGCCGGAGAAGACGACCGGAGAGTCGTCGGAGATAAGAAATTCCCGGAAACCTTCAATAGCCGGTTTCAATGGTTTCTGTGAACACCTACAACAAGTTCAATGGTAAATGAGGTACAAAAAAAAAAAAGTAAAATGATCAAATGAGTACAAAAGCAACAGTTAATTACCCTTATAAGTCATTTTCCCAAGAATAAAGTGGTGGGGGTAGGCCAAGATTGGTGGGCACCAACTCTTATCTACAATTACAAGGTTTTTTTTGGTTAATTTCTAAATTTATAAAATCATTGAATTGATAATGATATCTGAACTCATAACTGTTACTGATATAAATGTTATTTCTTTTTTAGACTGAATGCAACGGCTGAATCTGAATAAATGACTATTTTACATTTCTGTTTAAATTGTATTAATTATCATTCATTTAATAATTATAATAAAGTATAATTTTACGATATCACATTAAATAATTAAAAACATAAAAATAAAATTTAAATAACGAAATAAATAACTTAAATTGCTAGAGAATTTTTATAACGTCCCAAAATAATTATACCAAAATTTCCATTTTTAGATTAATAAATCGTTAATACATAAAATCTCCATAAAACCAAGGTAATTATGCCTTAGCAAAATATCATTAAATCAAAGTAATTCACAGCATGCGGAAACATGTGGTGTGTGCTCTGCAATCATCCTGAGCTCTTCCATTCGAAAACCGAAGTACCTGAAACATAAACTGAAAACCGTAAGCACAAAGCTTAGTGAGTTCCCCAAGATACCACATACCACACATACATAAATCACATACCGGGCCCCTGCCCTCCATCGGGCCTCGCCCGGTCTCGAGTCTCACTCGGTCTCGGCCCCCGCCCGACATCGAGCCCCGCTCGGATTACAGATATGTTATTCTTAGGCCTCGCCTGTCCCTGGGCCTCGCCCACTATACACATACAATATAACACATAATCATGCTAACACATAAAATGATCATAAACACTAGCATATGTTCCATTCATCGGGCCTCGCCCGACATCGAGCCCCGCCCGGTACACATATAACCATATAACTAAATAATCATATAAGCATATAACCATACTATCACATGCAATAATCACAAAGACTATGACATACCATACAGTCATCGGGCCCCGCCCGGCAATCGGGCCTAGCCCGGTAAGCATAAAAGCACCTACTGATAACTAACATATTATATCCCCATCAGGCCCCGCCTGGCATCGGGCCTCGCCCGGTAAGCATACCATCACATAACACGTGCAAGAGTCGAACATACATCTAGCATTATAACATATAAACAATGGGCCGACATTGGTGCCTTCGACCCGCTAAACCCAATGAGGAGACTCACCTCGTACCGACGAATCACAGCGATCTCTGGCTGCTGGCTGACAGATTCCCCGAACTGTCAATATCAAAACAACACCAAATTACTAATTGGGTTCCAAACCATAACCATAAATCCATACTCGAGGTAAAAATACCATTTTACCCCTAACCTAGCTTGGTCCAAGACCAAGGCCCAGCCTCATAACCTGAAAGGCCAAAAGTCAAATAACCAACCAAGGCCCAAATATGGCCCAATTTTCCAAATTGGGCCCAAACCCCCTACATGGGCCTTACCCTAAAGCCCGTCCAATTTCCTAGTCCATACACTTGTTCTCAGATGGCCCATTAAGAACCCAAACACCTAAGCCCAAAAGAAAAGGCCCAACTCGAGCCCAACACAATTAGGGTTTTCACATAAAATGACGATTAGGGTTAAGTAAAAACACTTAACCCGTTAAGGACTTAATCCATTAAGTCCACCATTCTACCAGGTCAATCATACAATGTGGTCGGGCATAAATCATAATTCCAATCCAACAATCCAAAACGTGGGTCCCGGAAAATCCCAAACTAAAATTCCCAAAATTAGGGTTTTCTAAAACCCTAATTAGGGTTTCCAACCCACGCACATGCCACAAAGTCCAAAGTTAAGTTTTTAGGTTAATTAGGGTTTACTAGGTCAGGCACCACCCACTGCCACCTCGGGCGGTGGTGGTCGACGGCTGTTCACGGCGGCAGCCACCACCTCACGGTAGTGGTGGTTATGATTCTAGGCCAAAACAATGACAAAAGCACTCCAAACACCAATCCAATAATGCACATAAACACACAGCCACCGGAGATGGTGGCTAGTGGCGGCAAAACGGTGGCAGCCACCACCTCACGGTGGTGGTGGTGGGTTTTTCCGGCCAAATATTGCGCATACAACCACACGAACACAGCAAATAGCATATACACTCGAACACACATACACTCAGCCACCTCCTATGCGGCTGACATCGCCGGAAACGATGAGAACCGCAACCAAAGGCCACCGACGGCAGCTACGACGTACCCGACGCCAAACAAATAGAGATGAAAGAAGGAGTGGGATGCGGTTATCCTTACCGAGAACCTTCCGGTCACGCATGAACCACACAACGATGAACACAACTACAATCACCGGTCTCGGTGGCTCTTCCGGCTGCCCACGACGTCCGGAAGCAGGGTTGTGGTGGTGGCGTTCATCCGCAAAGTAGCGGGTGATAGGGTGGCGGTTGAACTCGGCAGTGCAGCGGCGGTTGAGGAGGGTCCTAAGGTGGTGGCGGCTGGAGAAAAATATGCTAGGGTTAGGGTTTGATATCCACCAAAACGAGAGGGAAGCAGTGGGTTTAATTCTCGTGTTCTTTTCAAACATGAGCTCAATTTCCAAGTTTGGCCCTCCTCC